GATCAATCCCAACAAGGTCACAGGGAGGGGTCACAGGGTTAAAACACTTGAAGTGTGCAATTAACCTTGTGTGGAGAGAAAGAAAGAGTGATACACATAGAGTGAGTGAGTGAGTGAGTGAGAGAGAGAGAGAGGGGGAATATACAGTAGTCAGTCTGAAGACAGAATCTGTTTTCGACTGTGTTTGTGAGTATGTGACATAATTATGGATAGTAACCTAATGTTATTATCTTTCACATGTAATTCTGGTGTCTGTGTTTTGTGCAGGAATCAGACCTGGTTGAGTCCAGTGGTTCGGGACTCTGAGGTGACCCGTGCTGCCCGCAGAAAGAGTTCTCACAAAAAAGTTGCATGTATCCTTAACAAAGTCAAACACCATAGTTAAGTCAAGTTAACGTTACATGTATTTATACAGCACTTTACAATGCATGTAGTTTCAAAGCAGCTTCACAGTAATAAACAGAAAAATAGCATTGTTAATGAGATAAAGTACATCCATTTTGAAAGAACTTCAATTTCAGCAATTATAAAACGAAAAGCAGCTCTACAGAAGACAATATTGTCGTTATCCAGCTCAGTTGAGGTCAGCTTTTTGTTCTCATCTGGTAGTGTAAGTACAATGTCTCTGTGCTGAAACTGTTATAAACATGTAGGAAAGTTTTTTGTTGTTTTCCCTTTACTGTGTGTTCAGTCCCACTGGCACAGGATGACACTCCTGGCACCAGCACTACCCCTGCTAGACCACTACTGCGCCAAACACCTGGATCTCTCCTCAAACAAACTTGTAAGTAATCAGCATTATCTATCTATCTATCTATCTGTCTCTGTCTGTCTGTCTGTCTGTCTATCTATAGATAAATATATATGCTGCATGCAAAAACATACAGTCTAACCATTGCAGTCTGATTCAGAAAGGACTCTCTCAATAATAACTCTTTCAATAAATTATTTAAAAAGAAATTAAGTAACATATTAATCAATCTGATGAATCTTTCATAGAATGAACTGACTGAATCCTTTAGTACTTAATTAAGTTAGCAAGTCTTTACTTCCAGTCAAAAATTAAACAAGAAATATTTGCTTAATCTTTATCAGAATATTAGTATCGTGATTGTTCATTTGACAATGCGTAGTTGAAGATACAACATTTATTATAAATATATTAAACTTAAAAGTATAATATTTTGTAATGCTATTTTAAATTAAATAAAACATTAAACTAATATAATTATTTAAGACAGGGGTTTTCAAACTAGGGGTCCTTTGGAAAAGTTTAAATAAAAACATTTTGACAAATGTCAAAATAAAGTGTAAGATTAATTAAATGAAATAAATGTAAAAAAAAATTAATTGTAATAATTAGCTTAAACTAATGATACATCTAAAAGTACAAAAATCTAGTGAGCAGAAAAAAACAATGAATGTAAAAAAAAAAACAGAATATTTTACACACACATATAATAATACATACATACATAAATAATATTTTCACAATATCTATATTCACAGAGTCTTTATAAACGAAAAGCTATAGCTGCCTTTTCAATTTTAGGAGGTGTGTTGTCTTGAGGATGATCATATTCATATTCCTCATGACATCTAAAAGATTGAAACTCCCCCTTTATAAGATATTTAAATGTGTTGCTAAATGAGTATTTATATATATATATATATATATATATGTGTGTGTGTATGTATATATATATATAAATATATATAAATAAATTTAGGAGGTAAGTGGGATTTTTTTTTCCAGTGTATTGACTCTTCTAAGTTTGATGATGTTTGTGAAGAGTGGTCTGTATTGATGTGCAGTTGTTTTTATATCATGTACAGTCACCCCAAGAAGTGCCCTCAGGAACCCAGATGTGTCGGCCATCCTCGGGACAGGAAGCAGAACTCCTCGCTTCGTCAACACACCCCGTACCAAAGGCAGTCTGAGCATGGTGAGTGCCCAGAATTCATATGAACATTATTTATTCTGACTACATATATTTGACGAGTTTGATGTCAGTGGTAACTCCTCTGCTTTGGGTTTTTGTTTGTTGGCACTTCAGAACTTAGATGACAGTGATTGGACAAACAGTCTTTACCTGTCTCCTCTGTCTGGACTGGTGGACACCAGCTTCACTGAGGATGTCAGCATGAGCGCTCTCATGCTAAAGGAAGATGATCCCGGAGAGGCTGGTAAATAATCATAATAGTCATCATCGCCACAAATGAAGTGACCGGTTTACATGATTTACAGCTCTCTCGCTTTTTCTCCTCTCAGCTTCTCTCAGTTTGTTTCCTGAATTTCTGCAGTCATATTTGCGTCATGCGTCCACAGCTGTGTTTGATCTATTGGAGGATTATGAGGCTCTCTGTCAGGATAAGGTACACGTCCAGTAGTGCATAGACAGACTGGGAATTCAGAATGATATGATGTAAATTCATAATTTCATTAAGTAGAAATATGAAATTATTTACAATATAAATTTAATATGTAATATAAATTATCTAAAAACTAAATGTTTTAAATGGTAGCTAAATGACAATGTTGCCATAGCAAGTTGAATAAAATCCCTACTGAGATTTGTAATGTGCTGACCTGTATTGTAGGTTAGTATGTTGCAGAAAATGGTTCTTCGATCAGCCCCTGGTCAGCAGAAATCCTCCAAGACGGTCAGCATTACCTGGTTGCTGCAGCAAGAGATGGTGACCTGGAGGCTCATCACCTCGCTGTACAGGTACAACACTCTCATACATATTGACGTACACTGCCGTTTAAAAGGGTTGGCATAAGATGAAGAAGAAATGAATAATTTTATTCAGCAAGGATGCATTAAATTGATAATAAGTGACAGTAAGAGCAAAAGATTTCTATTTCAAATAAATGTCCTTTTAAATTAATAAATCCTGAAAAAATGTATCACTGTTTATTCAAAAATATTAATCAGCACAACTGTTACTTAATTGCTAACATACTGTTAAATCTCTCAAATACAGAGACAGAGTGCAGACAGTTTTAGAAGAAGACATCATGATGGATATAACTGTAAGTGCATGTGTGACACTGTACTGGTCTATGTAGATGGAAAACATGAATGTCATTGTATTATATTACAAAATGCCAAACCTTGTGATAGCACAAGCACATTGGTCAAGCAAAAGATTCATAAAATGAAGCCTGTTAGGTTTTAAATGATAAAACAGTAGATATACTGTCCAAAATTAACAAATAGTGCTCGAAGACTTTTAGAATGCCACAAAGCTATATCGTACCAGTGCCACTTTGATATTTTGTGTCCATTGCAGTGACATTCGTTCATTAATGGTGACTAAAGAATCTATGTTTTTCGGAGCCACTACATATGAACTTGTGGTTGTGTTTTCTTTGGAGATTCCCACTGAGAATGAGAAGGCAGTAATGGAGCAGTTCTTCCAGAAGGACAGTATGGTGCGACAGAGCCAGGTACACATGCATCCATTTACACCCATCCTGCATGTTTCTGCATGGAAAAACCACTTTACTCAGTATCTGGTGTGTGTGTGTGTGTGTGTGTTTATTTAGCTGGTGGTGGATTGGTTGGAGAGTATCGCCAAAGATGAGATAGGAGACTTCTCTGATAACATTGAATACTACGCCAAATCTGTGTACTGGTAAGCGATATTACTGCTTATTTATATTATTGAACATCTCAAAACTCTGATTTCTAGATAAAATTGAATGCCTTAAAGACTTAGGCCTTAAAGAATGCCTTAAAGAGGCTTTTATGGTGGATTGTTCATGTGTAGGGAGAACACGCTCCACACCCTGAAGCTGAGGAGGAATCAGTCCAGCAGTGGTTTCAGCAGGCCCCTGGTCACAGAGCTGGACCCCGATGCTCCCATCAGACAGAAGAGACCACTGGCAGACCTGGACAGAGAGGACGACTCTCGCCTGCTCAAAAATCTCTTTAACCTCATAAGAGCTGGCATGACTGATGAGGTGTGTGTTTGTTTTCTAATGAGGACTGTTATTAGGGATGGGAATTCTGAGTCATTTTATATTTGAGTATTGTAACACTGCAACACAAGTAATTGATTACGTTTAATGTTTGTGACCAAACCAAAACATTTCATATCGCCGATAACAATTTCAAAACGTACTTTTCTTAACCCTTTATTTTTATATTTGTTATGTAACTGCAGCTTCTGTGTTGAGAAGTCTGAGCATTCTGCTGTTTTCTTTCTTCGTTGTTTTTATTTTTATTATTTTTTGTAAGCAGAGAATTAAATACTGAAAATTTCACTTTTTGTCTTTGCTACTGTGTGTGTGTGTGTGTGTGTGTGTGTAGGCTCAGAGGCTGTGTAAGCGCTGTGGTCAAGCCTGGCGTGCTGCCACCTTGGAAGGCTGGAAGCTGTATCATGACCCCAACATCAACGAAGGTCAACACATGCACATACTAACCAACATTTAACTACATTAATATTTCCTTTTTATGCTAAATAGGACTTGAAAGGGATAGTTCACCCAAAAATTACATTTTCTGTTTTCATTTACTCACCCTCTTGTCATTTCAAACCCATAAGATTTTCATTCATATTCTAAACATGAAGTTATTTTTAATGAAACCTGAGAGGTTTGTGTTCCTCCATTGAAAGTCCATTCCACCAGAACTTTGACACTTCAAAAAGTTTGACTTCATAAAGTTTCACTTCATAAAGACCTAGTCAATGCAATATGATTCGAGCTGTTTATTCGAAGAGACACGAATGCTTTTTATGAAGAACAGTTTTTATTTAGGCTTTTGTTTACATATCAACATTGATCAATGCACTATGCTCGATGCTCAACTATGCCTGTTTGATGTGCGAGAACCAAGAATGATGATGACAGATGACAGAATTTTAATATTTAAGTGAAATATCCCATTGTTAAAACAGTTATATGATTCATAATTTGTGTGTGCTTGGACACTCTACTATTGTCCAGGAATGTAAAAATGTTGAATATATATTGCAGTAATTAAAAAAAAGTCATGGTAGTTACTATAAGAAATATACATTATTTTCTAGTTAAAAATATTGAATTAGCTGTAATTTCTTTGTGAGTGCATTTTCTTGAAATGATTTTTAAAAATCCAGTGATCACAATTGACAAAGTCATGGGCATTCATTGGTCATGTGATTTGAGTGATTTGTTTGTGTGTGTGTGTGTGTGTGTTCAGGAGGTGGAGAGCTTCAGTCTGTGGAGGGGAATCCACATCGAAGCGTGTGGAAGGTTTGCTGTTGGAGAATGGCAGAGGAGGTGAGGAAACTCTAGATCTGTGGTCTACAGGAGGGTGCTAGGGTGTCTGTGGGAAATGTGATAATTTTTTTTTACTAAATGTATTTTTAGGGAAACATTGACAGTAATTAGAATTTGAAAGAAAAGGTTGTTTTTTCCCCCTTGTTTTGACTCAAATACATTGATAGCTATTTGGTTTAATTTTACAAACAATGTGGTGTCTTTTATAATGCATCTTCGTCACACAATATAAATAGTTTCTTATGCATAAAAATATATCCTTTATATACCTTTATACATTTAAGATTCTTTTAAGATTTTACATTTAAGAAAAAGTTTGAAAACCATTATTCTATATAAAAGTCTCAGAAAATTAAAAATCAGTAATTAATGGTAATTGCACTACTTTGGGCTGTTTTTTTTTTTTTACTGGCATGTGCTTGGGATGCACAATTAAAATGATGTAATAGCTGTAATCATTATTTTACCTTCCATGATCATTCAGACATGATCAGGTGCAGTACTGACACTCTGTCAAGTCTGCATCAG